GGGAGCCCCCCCCTTGCCCTCCGCCCCCCGCCGTGGGGCTCCGGCGGCTGCTGCCCCCGCGCTGCCCACGGTGGCACAGGTACCCTCCGCCCGGGGCATGGGGAGGGCGGGTGGGGGGAGGCCAGTAGCAGCCCTGCAAGGGGAGGGCATCCCCGTCCCCGGTGTCCTCTAGCTGGTCAGAAAGGGCTAAGTCAGCCTGCTGTATGTATTTCTCCTGAACTGGCAGGCTAAACTATAGTTCTTATAGTTGTAATTTGTAAATTCCTTTTTTTTTTTTTTCCCTCCAATGTAATTTCTGCATTACAAGAGATGAGTTCAGGGAAGTGTTCATCACTCAGGAGCTGTTTTTTTTTTTTCCAAGGATCCTGTGCTGATGGGAGATAAGCGTGGAGGTAGTTCCCCACCTCAGACTTTTTGATTAGGAAGGAATGAAACTATTTTACACATTGTTTTTCAGCCAATCCATTAATTCTTTGCCAATTCCACACCACCCTAAATGTTCTGCATGGTGTGTACAGACACACAGGAAGCATTGCTGGAGGTTTTGCACCATGATGGGTGACTTCTGCTCTCCTGTTGTGTGTCCCTCACTTAACTATGGCCCCATTTCTCTTGAGATGTAGGTGTTGCTTTCTTCCAGTGCTCCTTCTGAGCATCGCTTTTCACTGAGACCTGTGGAAGTTGCTGGTCTTCAATGGCCCATAAATGAGCATCAGTTCTGGTTTCTGAGGGTTTCCAAGAGGCAAACTGCCAAAGCTTTCAGTGATACCCAGGGATGAGGAGGGATCACCTGCAGACCAGCAGTTATCCCAAGCCAGAACAGAGGTCTGCACTGGGAGAGCGGATGGTACCCTGGGTCATAGGTGTCCGTTTCCCTTCAGAGCCTTCCCAAGTGGTGCGCTGGAGCCGCTCTCCATATGTAGCACACAGAATGGAAAGCAGATGCAAAGTCCTGCACTCGCCCCTGCTCTTCTGTCCCTGAACTGCCCTCCTGTGCTCTGTCTGTGCCCATAGAAACTTTGGGAGAATTGAGGTGACGATGGAGAGCATCAATGGAGTCTAAGTTAAAATGGTGTTAAAAATAATACAAATTATCTTTCTACATCTAATTGAAGACACAGGCTCTCTGACTAAACAAGCTGAAGCAACCGTTGCTACAGACTGGAAAAAGAAATTGACTCCAGAGCAATTCCATGTGACAAGAGAAAAAGGAACTGAACCGGTAAGCAAAAGCACTTAATGCTGTCTAAGGGTAAGCCACCTCCTCTGCCTGCTGGGCAGAGACAAACCTGCTCTGGGCAGCTGTCACCACTCAGTTGCTTCACAGGTTTTCCCCTGCCTTCCTGTGGATCAAAGTTAGACTCGACATACTGAACCAGGTGGATTTTGTTCTGACCCAGAGTGGTTTGCAGATGAAAAAATATTCTGCATTCTTTTCATATTTTGGGGTTTTATTTGGTTTTTCTTTTCTGGGATATTTTACTGCCAGCTGAGCTGTCTGTGTGGCAGCAGTGGAGGCCTCTCCAGAGGGGAGGGAGAAGATCATATTTTTGCCCCATAGCTTCCTTTGTTGACCATATGTAGATTAGCCATAGAAATCTTACACATAGCATCCCGTTCAGGAGACGGGTCATGCCTCGTGTGCCAGATCACACACCTGCCTTGTCCCCATGCTTGGCTTCCTTCTGTGACGGAGGCCACGGAGCTCTGTGGGTGGAGCGCCGGCATCGCGAGCCCAGAGCCAGGGCTTCTGCGCGTGCGGGGCATGTACTGCAGGATTAAATCACGTGAACTGTGCCCAAATCCTTCTCTGTAAAACAAGGATCCCAATTCCAGACCACGCAGGGAGGAGCAGAGTCTCTCTGTAGAACCGCTTTGAAGTTGTGGCACTCCACAGCAGAGCCCTGGTCTTTGGGGTCCTGCGCATTTCACAAGTTCCTCGGAGGTCACGACTCCGGCCCTGGTACCTGGATGATTTATGCATCCGACTGGTCTCAAAGTTTCTTGGGGCAGGGGGTAGTCTTCACTATTAATCCAAAGGCATCCTCCCCTTCATTTCTTTAGGCTGCTAATGTTTGTTCTTCAAAGCCCCCCTGTGAAGCCTTCTTTTTATGGTTTTTCTCCTGTTTTGAATCTGATTCCTACATGCTTGTTCCAGATGGTGAGCTTTTAAAGACCTGCATTATTAACTTCTCTTTTTTTCTTCCTTTTTTTAAAAGCCATTTAGTGGGATCTATCTGAATAACACAGAATCAGGAATATACTGCTGCGTGTGCTGCAACGCCCCACTGTTCAGGTAACACCCTTCAGATTTCACAGCATCCTTAAAATGCTGTAACTGTAGCAGGAGAGGCAGTGTGTTTCCATGAGAGGAAAGGAAAGTGTCGGTCAGAAGAACAACCCTTTGCTGCCAGAGTACTATGTATAAGATTTCCAGAATATCTGTGGTGATACAGGTGCCTGGTATGCCCTTTCCTTGAGCACATGAGGATCTCCAGTGGCCATCATACAGCAGCTGCTACATTAGGGTCTGCTTTTTTCTCTTGCCACACTCACTGTCCTTTTTGCTTGATAATAATTCTCTGTTTAAGAGGTGCCTAAGCCACAGGCTGCCACAAAATATGTGTATTTATGTGTATCACTGTATGGTTGCTGTGTTCTTGTGCTCTTCCACAGTCATCTTCTGCCACTCGTGCTACTGGCTTTGGTCTGCCTTAGTCTAGCTGGGTCTAGTGCTGGGTCCCTCGTACTGGAGCTGAGACCTCCTCTTTGCCCCCACCCCCTTCTTGTTCTCTAAATTAAATTCCACTATTTTTGCCTTTTTGGTTAAATCTACTTTTTAAAACCTGACTGTGAACAACTGCGCTGTTAACCTCTGTGCTCTTTACAATACTATATATTTTGCAACTTCATTAAAGTCTCAGTAAAAGGAAATAGAGTGCTTCAGAGTAGGATGTGCAGAGGGTGTTCTGTTCTCTGTAACTGAACCAGAAAAGACAGTTCCTCATATTTTTGATCCAGAAAATAGCCTTTATTTATTCCCAACCGAGAGTTCAATGGAATATGGCTGATACGCCCATTTTTATGAAGACTTTAAAGGATGCATCACAGATCAGAACTTCAGATGGAAAGCTGAGGAACGAGAGATCTGGATAGTAAGAAATGGGGGGAAATGTAATGCCTGTATTAAAAATAAACCTAAATTAAACAATTAAATGGTAAAATCGGAGGCTGATAATTGTGAACAGTTAGTTTTCCTTTGGCCGAGTACAGAAAACTATTATTATGCAAATGAACATTTGCTTAAATGTATCTTTTTCTGTAGAGGTTTGCTAATAAACACTTTAAAAAAAATTTATTTTAGAAGCTAATGCAGCATTGCAGAATATTCTGAAGACAAACACAAAACCTAAAAATACCTCTGGAAAATTCAGATAAATTAGAGAATTTTTAAATTACTGAGCTGTGGATGATTTCCTTCAATTCCTTCAAATGTTCCTTCAATTTAGGCATCCTTTATATTAGAAAATAGTTATTGACAGGCCAACATGAAGAGAGATGAGGACTGGAGGGAATTGCTTCTGCTGTTAAACTAATAACAAAACAACAATATAACCAAACAGTCATGCTGCTTTTTGCAGTAACCAGCTCTCAGAGAATATAGCTGCTTTTGTTTAAAGCATAAAATAATGCTAAGCCTTACAGACTGATACAGGGAAATAAAAATAAAAATAATAATAATAAACCAAACCAAACTTACAGGAAAAAAAAAAAAACATTCTAAGAAAATTGAAAATTATTAAATGGGCAAAATAGTCTGCAAATATATTTTCCATGAATGCATTATGTTGTGGAGAACACTAACAATGAGGAAACAAATGGTATTTGATAAGAGATTCATTCATCATGTTTATTTCCTAGTGCATTAAAAATGTCCTGTCTTTTTCAAATGCATTAGATCATTAGCTACAGGTAAACATGAAGCATTTCCTCCTTTCTTTCAAACTATATGTGTGTGTATACATTTATACGAGAATTTATTACCTTCTGCTGCCAAATATTCATTTGAAAGAGTTGGAAATACATGGAACAAACCCCTAACCTTTATAGATAGCAAATTGTGGTGCTTTAATGAAATCTCAAACCTTCAGCGAACCATAAACCTACAGCTGAGATTCATACAGCAAAAAGCACTTTTTAGAATTATCTGGATTCCATCCAGGACGACTGAAATAGGGATCAAAGTAAATGACATGTGCTGGAGGAATGGTGTGTCGAAGGCTAATCTAATGCATATGTTTAGGGAAAGTCCATTTATCCATAAATTAAGTGGTGAAATACTTCAAAGGACAAATATGATCTTGAACAGCAATATTTTTGGGTACTAAAATGTTTCTATTAGGGAATCTAAGTGATATTACTGTTAGTAAAACCACACAGAGACCATTTCTGTTGAGAGCTAGTTTAACAGCTCAAAAGATTGATCCTTTAGCAGTGGAAAACATCTACAATAAACTTAAGTATTGTGAGCGGCGTGCAAGGGACGGAGTCAGTCAGGGTCAGATGCAAAGCCCACATCGCATTAAAGACCTTCCTTGACTCTACAGGGTTTCAGAGAGGATCCTCATATCTATGTATGACTAAGCAGAAGGATCCCTGTGCCAAAAAATGAAGAGTTCTGATTGAAATCTTGTGAAAATAAAAAATAAACAGCACAGGTATATATCAGGGAAACTCAGAAGTCATGTCCAAACATTTGTGTTCCCCCAGCTTACGCTTTGGGATCCTGTGGCTGGTTGGCACAGTGTTCGTGGGGTTTTCTAGCTGGGAAGGCAGGGAGCCCTCTTTGGCTAGAAAGAAATAGGCCTGGAGCCCTAAATACCTTCTCGTACAAACGCAGAGTCTGCAAACTGCATTTGCTTCGGTGCAGCCTGCTTCTGTGCTGTGTCCTATTTCTCCCCGGTTTTACGGAGGGGAGGCGGTAGGAGAGCATTTCTCATGTGTCTTTGTAGATCGATGTCAAGGACTGAGCAACAGCCTGCACAAAAACTAACCTTTGGTCAGTCTGTGTTTGCAAATCCTCTTTCATTTCCACAGTTGCGTTGCTCAAAGACAGCCCTGTACAGTTAATTATGAAATGCATACTGAAACATGCACTGTTCTTTGGGTTGGATTTTTTAGGCTTTTTGTCCAGCTTGTATGCCTTGTCTTTCTAACAGGCACTGAAAGTAAGATTTGCAGACTTTTCTTCACTGTATTAATATCCCACCGAAATATACCTGAGAAATACTAGATATTTTGCTTTAAAATCTGTATTGACTAACGGACTAATCCCCCCGATCATAGAAAACTGTTGGTGGTGTTGGTGCCTCCATCCACCACTAGATGCCAGTAAGAGCATTAGGTTTGTGAAACTGGGCTCACACAAGGGAATCCGGGAGGAGACACTTGTGGGTCTCCAGACCATTTACCCTAGAAGTACTTGAACCTGGATTCATTTCTCGCTCTAGCTCACACTAGGTCACTCTTCGCTAGGAGAAAGTATTTATTGCTATCAAAGCTTGCACAACTTCAAATGGGAGGGATTATCTCATTTCCGTATGCTAAATCCCAAAAACATTTTCCAATTATGCTCTAGGTTTTTATATGCAACTAAACAGGGTTGGGAATCCTGGATGTTAACAGGAGGCACCCACAAGTTCAGAGTCTGTAGTGTTGTTTCTGATGGCTGCCATTATCTCTTGGGAAAAGTAGATCTTTGTGCTGTGAGGACTTGTCGTTGGTTGATTGATGGTTTGAGTGAGGGTCTCTTTGATTTTCCAAACCAGTTTGATGGCTGACTGCTAGCAGAAGCCATCACTGGACGTGAGCCTGGTCCAGTAGGCCAGCCCAGCCATTTTCCATACTTGGTTTCTTCTTGTAACCTCTCTTCTCTGAGGTTGTGCTATATTGAGCCACATTTCAAACTGCAGCTTTGCAGGTGTCATTCAGCTGAACAATGTGCTCAGTTGTTGGAAAAACCTTTTTTCAAGCTTTATAAAATGCCAAGCTGACAGTGAAATAGAAACGGTGAGGCAAAAGCTCCTGTTGTGGGCTGATGCAGAATTCCCTTTGGAATAGAGCTTCCAGCACAGTTTGATGCCAGTGAGAAACCTTCTACTGTGCCAAATATTATTAATAGTAGTACAAGACAGGGATAAGGAAAACAGCCAATGTTCTTATTAAAACCAGACTTTTTTGTAACATCTCTGTTATTAATTAACAAGAAGATCTGGTTTCCACTATAGATCAGAAAAGAAGTACAATTCTGGGACTGGATGGCCATCATTTTCTGAGGCTTACGGTACTTGTGGCAGAGATGAAAGTAATACCAATATCATGAGACGACCAGATAACTCACTGGGATCAACTAGAACTGAAGTCGTCTGCAAACAGGTATGTTTATTTTCAAGGTGAAACCCAAAGACCCAAATCTTAACAAGTTTTCTTTGTGCCCATGAATGAATCTACCTAAATACAGCAGTGAGAATTATGGTATCACTGGAACCATTCTGTCTCACTTCTTGGTATGAAACACATGAGTAGAGTTTGAAGTACCAAATACAGGCAGTCAGTTTGGGGTGAAGAAAATCATGTGACTGGGGAGAGTAGTTGTATAAGTATAGCCAAGGGTTGGAGTTTAGACAGAACATTTATTCAGAGGACCTCAGGTGAACTGCAGGATGTGACAGGATGTGTGTGTGACAGGACGAGGGGGAATGGCTTTAAACTAGAAGGGGGTAGATTTAGATTAGATATTAGGAAGAAATTTTTCTTCCTAACCAACCTTCCAGTGGTGAGGCACTCAAACAGGTTGCCCAGGGAAGTTGTGGAAGCTCCATCCCTGGAGGTGTTTAAGGCCAGGCTGGATGGGGCTTTGAGGAACCTGGTCTAGTGGGAGGTGGGGTGGAACTAGATGATATTTAAGGTTCCTTCCAACCATAACCATTCTGTGATTCTATGACAACAGACAGTAGAACGGACTCTGAGATTTAGTCCATACATTTGACCCATCACAGGGGCAGTTATTCCTAACTCAGTCCTGCTAAATGTTTGCTGAAACTGTTCTTAAAATATGCAGTGATGGAGACTCCACAGCCTCACTGGGTAATGAGTTGTAACCTTCATGGCTTCCTGTTGGTTAGACACTGGGGAAAACACTAAGTTTGCTCTGCAGCAGTTGAAGCTTATTACTCTTTGCGCTGCACAGCAGTGACGGTGCCTCGCATCTTCACAGCTATCTTCTACGGGTTCTCTTATTTCACAGAAGCCACCCTTCTATTTTGGGCAGCTATTTCGACTCCCTCAATCATCTCTTTCCTAGACTAGAAAGGGCCAGTTCCTTCAACCATTCCTTTTTGTGCAGTGTATTTTAGAGCGCTGATCACCTTGTTGCTTTATTTTGCACTCCTTCCAATTGATCCTTTTCCTTCTTGAAGTACAGCGCAACGCTGGACATAGCGCTGCCGCTGGCCCTCGCCTGCATCAGAGATTAGAGGTTGTTTTGGTCCTTTATAGGTAGTGTTCCTTTCCCCACACCTTTACCTTTCCACAGCCCATGACCCATATTTGTTTTGGGACCTGCTGTAACACCCAGGTCCTTTTTTAAGGAACTGCCACCCCTAACCATTTCTTCCCAACCTTAAATCTGTGCTATTTATTACATTTGTTAAGGTATAAAAGTATGCAATTGAGTTTAATTAATTGCATCTTGGCCTTTTGTGTGTGTGTGTGTGTGTGTGTGTTTTTCCAAACGGTTAAGATTACTAATACTGTCCTCCAGTGTGCTTGCAGCTCCTTCTAGCTGGATCAGGTATTATCTGCAAACATAACAAGCATTCGCTGCAGTCCATTATCATGGTAGAGTTCATGTTTGCAGTACTATCCAGCAATCACCTTTCAAGAAATGCAGCTGAAGACAACCATCTAATTTTATACTGAGCTGCTGATAGCTATTCTGAGTCTAATCTTTTCCCATCAGTAATTTGGGAGGGGGAATCCTCACTTGACCTGTAAGGAGGACCTACAGCGACTGTCTCAATTAACTTGAAATTTTCATTATATATTGAGGTGTCTAGATGCTCCCATTTACTTCCTATACTTTCTGGGACTAGTACCTTTTGACTTCCTCTTTTGGGATCTGCTTTTCTGGGGGCAGATATCCGCCCACTGGCCAGAGGTGATTACTCCAGGATGTATTTCTAGTCTCTCCCCAAGACTCCCCCACCCACACAACTCAACAGTGAATTCATCATACACGTTTCTTAATTCAGGATAGCACAGCTCAATGTTGGTCCACAATTGCAATGGTAATAAGGATATATAATTTCTGTTGCAGTGTGATGCCCATCTAGGCCATGTGTTTGATGATGGTCCCGCACCTTCTGGGCAGAGGTTCTGTATCAACAGCGTTTCATTAAACTTCAAACCAGGCTCTGGTTAGCGAGATGTGGATCTCTGTGGCTTACAGAACATCCTTTCTCCGCTCCTACAACAGGCTTGTGAAAAACTCCCACACTTTTAATATAGATTTCAAATTTTATTACTCATGCCATTGCAGCTTTGCTTTGCAGTTATTAACAGCGTTGATAAAATACATATTTTTGTGGTAACTCTTCGGCAGTTCGCCTTTTCAGGGTTAGTGTGATATGTGTTGATCTGTTTATTGTATTTTTTTAATTAAAAAAAATATCTATGCAATAGTTCACGTTCATAACTATCATCCTTAACTGTACTGAGGCAGCTGAAGTGAAGTGCTCTCCTGAACCTGACTTTGCCTATACTGAACAGTAGTTGTGCCACCAGGGAATACAGATGTACGTGGCTGATCATGCCAGAGCTTTTACTTCTGTAAGATCATCATATCCTTCTAAAGGGAATAAAAAATAACGTGAATCTCCAAATTAGGTTGGGGAGGTGTGTCCCTGATACGAGACCTTTAGCCAAGCCAAGTGACTTTTCCATGAACGCATAAAAGCAAAGTTCTGAAAAAGGGCCTAATTAAAACTATTCCAGGCAACAGAACCAGTGGAGACATGGACTCTTTCTTCTTTTAAATCAATTACTTTGATTCTGTGTCCAATAGCAGAACTGAAGTAGGGTTTGCTCCAGAAACTTCCTCATACATGTAAAATATGATAATAATGTAATGATCTGTGTAATATCTCCAGACTTCTGTTATCACTTGTGTATTTCAGAATCCAAAACCAAAACCGAATGTGAAATTTACTGTATTTGGGGGGAAAAATCAGCATCAAAAAACATGTTCAGTAAAGTGATGCTTTTGTTGAAAACACGCCTTGTCTGTTCTTCCTTGTACAAGTTTGTATGTACTTCTGTATTCTCCCAAGCATTGTCACCATGGTTTTCTGTAACAGGAAAATAAATCATATGTTTGTTAAATTGAGCTTTCCTGCTTTCAGATTTTTTTCCCAGAGAAAATAATCTCTGAGTCAGAACATCAGCTTCACTAAACTGGCTGGGTTTAAATGCTTCCCTGCTGAGAGTTACTAGGCAACATCTCATTTGGCTTTACCTATAACAGGCTGTTTCCATTCTCCCCACTTTGGTTGCCTCAGTAATAAAAAGGGTGTGTTCATTTACTAGTGTAGTCTTAAAACCATTTAATATCTTCAGAAAACGGACCTCTGTTGCACTGAATTTACTTCTGCTCATTCTGTCTTGCAGCTCTGCCATTTTTCATTCTCCTGTACTTTCTACAGCAGAACTCCACCACTTCATAACTTTCAAAAACATCATATGAAGACAGTGATTGCTAGAGCCAACCAAAATCAGAATGGCACAAAGGCCACCAGAGGTGTGAAGCAGCATGAATGAAGCATACACTGCTGCCAGTTTTAGGTGGTGTCATAGATGGTGACGGTCACATTGTCATCAGAGGTGTCTGTAAATGGCAAGAGCACGCTGCTTGCTGTGCCCATGCTGCATCACGCTCTGCCATGCAGAGATGCCCTTACATCACCTATTGCTATCGCCTGCCTGCTCTGACCAGGATGTACATGCCCAGCCTGTCCCTGTCTCTGCTCCCAAGAGTCTCCACAGGTTGTTCAGAAATCACCATCCTCGTATGCTCCGAATCCACGTACCCCCCTATCCTGATATACTTTTATTCACTGGTTAGGTTTTTTTTTCTTAAAATCTATCACACAGCTACTGGATGGGGGGTTGGCCCTTACAGGCGTTCTTTAGTCAGACAGCCCTCTCCCCTCTCCTCACCTTGAGAGGGTTGTCTCAGAGAGGAGCATGACTAGAAGGTGTCCCCAGTTGGAATCCTGCGCTCCGCCAGGTGCTGGTGGAGAAGCCAGAACCTGCCTGAGCACAGTGAATTTTGGCTGGGATACCAAACTGAAGCAGTCCTCGTTTCTACAAATGACAGAAAGTAGGAAGAGATCTGGCAAAATATCTGTGTCTCACCTGTCCCCACAGATACCACATCTCACTGTCACCTTCTATAGATGAGACCGAATGCCATACAAACAAAATACACCATGGAGCTGACAAAACAAGTACTCACACACAGACTTGTGTGCAAACCACACTCAGTTTAGTACCTTGGACATACATGGTTGGTGGAGACCAGCTCTTAGTGAAGTGGCAGGTTAGTAGCCATCACTGACAGAGGAAGCTTGCCTGAGCAGAAAGTACATTTATTTTCCACCTATAAACATCACTGTATGCAACTGGATGTTTGGGCCAAGCAGCAGCTGGTGCCTCTTCACTCATACAGCAGGATGACCTGAGGAAAGAGGCCTGTAAGGCACCAGTTTAGCTCGTGCAGTGTTAATTACAGATACATAATCATAGGAACAAACCCCTGTCTTCAAGGGCAGCACCTGACCTGCACTACACTAACGTGTCACCAGGCAAAAAGCATGAAGCACACTACTGCCCCAGAGAAACTAGGCACTGAGCTAAGCAATGTGTTTCTGCTTTTTTGAATGAAAATGGGGAAAGAGGAAGGTTTGGCTTTCACCACGTGTGTAAAATCCGAGTAATGGCACATCACATTTCAGTGTGGCCCTGTATCCTGCAGTTTGGAGTAGCTATCCTGAGAGGTATATGAATATCCTGCCCCATACACCTCACTGTAAATCTCAAAGTGTTTAGATGTTTGTATGTACACATGTGTATATATCAGTCAGGGAACAGGGGAAATAATTTTGCTTTGCCAGTCATCAATTTGGAATAAAAACCAAAACCAACAGAAGCCCTCTTATCACTCCCAGCCCTCCCCACTGCCGGCAGTTTGCACCTCTTCTATTAAAACACAGCCATGCGAAGGAATGATGCGGGACTGAGCCGAGGAAAAGGAAGGGGGGTAGGTAAGGGAGGAATGAGTGGAGGAAATGGGTATGAACTTCTTGAATTAACTCTTCTGATGCTTTTTTTTGGCAACGTCTGACTCTTTCTCTTACTTCTCTTTCTGCCGTATCAGGAAGAGGCTGGAACTGGTTGCAGAGCAATCTGCAGTACCGTGGTGGGGATAAGGCAGGGGTCTTTTTATTGTGTTATCACTTGTGAAAAAAATTATATGGATCAAATGGGCTACTCCTCAGTAGTCCTTTATAGTCCTTTATTTGTTTTCTATTATTTGTCTTACAGGACAAGATGGGGGAGAAGGACCACATTCATTTGGGTACAAGATAATTATCTCTTGAGTACAGCATTATTATTATTAGGTTAACAATTAATTTTGAGGATGTGCTGAGACCTGCACGTACGAAACTGCAAGCTGTCTATGTCTTGGTTTTACCATTCCCTCTGCTGGCTTTTTATTCTCTGTATATCATCTCAAACTTCTACTTTTCACATTTAAGATCTATCACAGCATGGTCTCACCCTGTGTTTTGTCTCAGCCATGCTGATGGTACTGGCCTGTGCTCTGCCAGTAATGTCTGCCTTTGTAAATTTAAGGTCAAATTTTCTTCAAATACGTTTGTGCTTTATCTTGGCCTGCCAAAACCAAAGAGGAGATCCACTGAAGACTCTGCAAGTCCACTTAGCCTCTTCCTGGCCTCCTCCCTGAAATTTGCATCTCTCAGTACACGCACAGAGCACATCTAAGCAACTGCTGTACTCTGGCAGTTACACCAGCCGTCATGATGCCACTGTTACCCTGTGCTTCATGCATCTGCCAGGGGAATCTGTGTGACATTTCTCATCATGTATTTGAGCTTATCTCCCATTATGATGCATTTACATGAACTAATTTTATGTGTGTATAAACATAAAATTTGTGAGCTGTTGACATTTATGGTCTTGTCCCCATGTGATGTAAACTGCTGGACATTCAGGACCTTTGACCATAAGGTTTTTGGAGCAGGGAACTTCATTATCTTCTGTGTCTGTAGTACCAGCCACACCAGAACAGATCCCAGCTAAAGGCCCAAAGTGTTATAAGATCATTAATAATAAAGACCAATAATAATGGCAGACACTATTAAAGAGTACCATAGGGTACAAGTATTTCCTCCTGTATCTGCACTGACTTTGTTCCACCATAACGAATACAGAGCAGTTGCTTCTCTGAGCTGAATATACTCTACCAGGCAACTGCAGATTTATGTTCCATCCTTCACAGCTGAGAAATTTTTCAACATTGATATTTCATAAATTAGTTTCAGGGATGATACTTCTTATCCCATTGTGCTTTTAACTAACCTTTTTGTAAATCCTAATTGAGGCTTCTACATAATTCTTAAGTGATTTAAACATCTTAAATAACCTATTTAAAGACTTCCTTAGTCTTTGCAGCATCTCTACATGGCAAGTAATTATTCTAAGTTTTTCTGAGGGAAGACTTGATGAAAAGAATTTAATTGACTTGCTCAAGACTACAAATTAAATTTGCAGGCAAGCCAGAATTAGACTCTGCATGGCTCCTAACAGCATCCAGATCTTCAGACCCTGCTTTTTCTAAAACTTGTTTTGGTACTTGATTGTTTAGGGGGGTGAATTATCAAAAGAGAAGAGGTAAAATTAGCCTATGTTTTTCCAGCTATGGTATTAAAACCAAAGCCAAGCCAAACAGGGTAACTTTGGCACATAAGGAGCAATACCTGACCTCTTTCTCAGAGCAAAGGTGGTACAGGTTTGGTTAGGAATTAGTCCACTGTATTCTCTGGCTGTGCTGTGTATTGCCACGCAGCCTAAAATGAACAAATGTTCTTCATGTTCCAAGACAGCTTTGGGTAGAAATGGCGCAAGGCTAACAGCTACTTCTTTGCTTGGGAAGCAGCATGGCTTTTTTGTGAGCACAGAGAGAAGATAGGAAAGAAGGAGCAGGTTACTCTTATACTACTAGCAGCTTCACGCTCCTTTCACCAGAAGTTGTAACTTCCATTATTTTAGCCACGTAACCACAAACTATAGTGATGCTCTTTTCTGTTGCATCATGTTGCAAATCGCTTGGATTCTTTTTTAAGCTTGTTGACAATCTAGTCTGATTCTGGTTAGAACAAAAGAAGGAGAGACACTTTTCTCAGAGTGAAAATGGGATTTTGCCACCTCAGAAGAACATGTGCAGTATGAGGTGGCTCAGGGGCAGCCTGCATGAGAAGGAACCGAGAAAGTCTCAGTTTGGGTTTTGCTTTTTTTTTTTTTCCTGGTTTTGAACAAGATGGTGAGAACTTAGCTTGTACTCCTAAGCATGTTTGTATTATCTGGTCTTCAACCTTGGCCCTGTTGTGTAGAAGAAAGAAGTCCTGTTACCGCACAACCGAACTGCCTCCTCTTCCATTCACTTAATGACTTTCTACACCGGGAGCGAAGAGTTTTAAACCATACTCCTGCGCCTGTCCCACCTCCTGCTACACCCAAGTGATGAGCTGTGGTAACACTACCCTCACAGCATGTCGTGTAGCACTCAGCACTGCATCAGCTTGGTGGATTTCACAGCTCTTTACGCACAAATGATGCCCAGCCCCAGCCCTTTGAGGTAGTGGTGGGCCACATGTCACAGAATAGGAAGCTGAAGGACAGCTGTGGGAAGTGACTCGCCCACAGTCCCCCCGGGCAGGGCAGGGAAATCTGATTACAGAAAGGGTTCTCAAAAGCTCTCCAAGTGTGAGCTGCTGCCAAAATTCACAAAGGCAAAGTAGTTTAAAAGCAAAGCTCTGTATTGAAGAAGTGCCCAGATTTTTCCAAGACTAAAAGAATTTGTCTCAAGGCAGGTGTGTCCATGGGGACTGGTTTTAGTAGCGCTGAGGAATGTGTGTGGAAGGGATTGGCAGCTTGCCATGGGGAAGAAGAAAGAGAAATTCATGCCCATTATTGTGCTCCCTTTTACTGTCTTCTCTTTTTTTTTTTTTTTTTTTTTTTTTCTTTAAAAAGTGGTATCCTTCCTCTCTACTCCTCAGAAATCCCTTTGTAATATCCCCCCGGGCTCTGGCCTTCTTGACTGCACTCACCCTCACCTTGTGCCTGAACCCTCCTCATTCCACATACTCAGTCCGCTTCCCTTGGTGCCCAGAAGATGATCAAACACGCAGTCCTGCACCCACATCTGAGTCAGCAGCTATCTGCACACGCTGGAGGTGACTGTGGGGACCTGGCCTGCGGGCTCTGGGGAGGTTGGCAGGGCAGGCATCAGCTGTGCTTATCCAACTCACCTACTTTGCGCACCCAGATTCACAGCACTTACAAAGTGACATCCAGAAAAACTTGTCAGGGACAGAGGAGCCGCCACAAAATCAGGAAAAAGAAAATTAAAAAGTCATAGGGGATGCTCGAGTAGCCTGCTTAGTTCTGGAAACAAAGATTCTGCTGCCCTGCCACATTACTGATGTGTGGGATGTAGAAACGTGGACCACAGCCCGGTCATCTTTGCTCAGGTGTTATTTTTGAAAGATCAGAAGATAGACCCAGACATTTTGTGAGAGGAGGAAGGAACAGGAAAGGACGGCAAAGTATTTTGCACAACTGTTAGGGAAGAGGCAAAGGCAACACAGAGGAAGGTGCTGGAGTCAAAGAGAGACAATAAGAATTGGTGTTTTCCTTTCCAGAAGGAGTCAGCGCTGAAGGAAAAGGGTACCGCCGATGGATCGAAAGCATGCGGAGGATGGCAGCTAAAGAGGTGACTGCAAGCTCTCAGGAACGGGGGAGCTGAGATCAATCCTCCCTGGTGTGACAGTCTCTTGGGGACAGTTCTGCCAGAGCCATGGGATGCCTACGCATTTTCTTGGATTACTGAAGGAGAAAGCCTTGAGAAGGGCTAGGATCTGAGCAGAGCTAGAAGCAGGTGTTCATGCTTAGGAAGTTCAGGAGATTGACCGCTCTGTTAATCAGAACACCAGGTGCAAAATGAACCCTCACACATTCACTGCCCCAGAAATGACCCTATTCCCAATCCAGAAAATGTTCCCTCCCTGTTTCAGGCTTTACATTACCTCTTAGTCCTGGGCCTCTCCTGAATGCACTTGGGTATTCATGCTCGGGTCCATTATGAACAAAGGTCATTAAACCTTGTCATGTACAATATGTCTAACTGGAGTTTCCTTAGGCCCCCAGAGAAGGAAAAAAAGGGCCTCCATGGCACTTCTCCTTGGCAATAGCCCAAATAGCCTCTGCCTCTGGGCTTGGTCTGTAAGAAGGGCATTTTCCAAAACCAGATCACATGTAACTTTCTATGACCTTGTAGCCTTCGCTTTACTTTTATGAATGAATCTCTATTAAAAGCGGGGGGTAAATGTTTTTCCTTTGTCCCTCTTTCAGTTTACAAATTTGTCTTCTCCTACAGCCAGCTGTTAAAAGATTGGTTCTGCCCCTGCTTTCACCTTTCCTGTTTTATCAGCTGAGACGTCAAACTGAGGGCCTGACCACTGGGTGTTAAAGATCCATGGCTCTTTTTGTAAGGCAGTGGCCTGGCCAACTCTAGACTCTAAATGCTGCCTTGTCTTACAGTTTGAGTTAGCCTCTCACACCCTAAATTGCAAGGCGTCGTTGCCTTGAGCAATGAACAGCTTCTCTGTCCTAATTCAGAGGTGACAGCAGTTAAGCAATAGGTGAAAGAAACTGTGTATTTCTGACGTACAAGCACTGCTGAGAGGCTTAATTTTTTTTTCGCTCACAAATTGCTTGACATCTACAGATGAAAAGGGCTGTAGAAATGCTTATGATGGGTTATTATTTTGGTCCTGTTGCTATTATTATTTCTATCACCCCTGTGCCAATTTATCTTCTTTTCTGCAAGTTTCACCTTCTTGCTCTACACCTGCCTCAAGAATAGGCAGAAATTGCCAATAAAAAGCATTGCCTAAAACAGAGAGAGCTGATGAACTGCTCCAAAGAGACACAGTAAATCTCCTCCACTCTGCCCAGGCTGTGGTATTTAACTAAGCCCGTTAAGCACCTATCCACAGAGAGAGAGCTACAGTAGACCAGAGGTGTTCAGCTGTGCTTGTGATTACTTCCCAGCCTGCAGCAACCACAACAGTGGCTGCAGGGACCTATCTGCTACCAGAACCATTCTTCTGGCTGGAGAAGGACAAAGGAGACTATTTGTTCAGACCATACTGGGTGGAAGAGGCAGGTTGTGGGTGCTGGGGCGATGTGATGTACACAGGATGATGAGGTTGGGCTACTCCGCAGCAGGAAGACCTCATGGGGTGAGGTGTGGTGTAGCGAGTGGGTGGGAATATGAGGTGAAGGGTGTAGCACGAAGGAGGCGACATTCCGTCTGAGAAAGGTAACCAGGTACAGTTTTGGGATCTTGCTCTGTGGAGGTATGGCATATGGTTGAGTGGTTTTAGAGAGGGATGGATAGTGACTACTCAGAGTCACCTCAAAATACATTTTTTAAAAAATCTACTTTAATATTCCAGAATATTTTGGCAACTTTCCCTCAAAACACAGAGCGGCTCAAATGGATGCTCTGCAGTGACCTCTAGGGTACATTTGCTTTCAAACCCGTTGCAACCATAGATCACTTGGAAAAAATAGCTTCTCCCCAATAGATTATACAGACCTACTTTCTCCTCTAAGACTGGTTTGTGTCATTGCCAGTCTCCACATCTTTCTCCACATAATGCCTTAGGTAGAGCACGTACAGAGATGAGAGGCTTGTTATCTCCAGTTTGCTGGTGCATCAAAGGAAGTTGCAGATGCTCCGCATGGATCTGATCCAATACTCTTTGAAGTCAATGAAAACCCTTCCCTCGACCTCTCATTCAGTTCCCCTCTCAGTAGCTCCTTATGCAAATCATAGTCTATTTTGTGTGTCTCTCCCAACAAAATCAACGTGTTTCTCCAAAGCATTTTCCTTTGTGGAACCTGATAGCAAACCTTTCAAAAATCTTGGCGTTCTCCTTTTCTGATGAAGCGTGACTTGAAAGCAGATTAGCGCTATCCAAAGGGGGTGGGAGGTGAGGGGGGAAGCAGCAAGCCCTGACCCTACAAACCTGTGGAAGTACCAATTATTGACAGCTATTATCCCTCCGACTGCAGGGGGACCGCTCACCTGGGTAACAGCCGGGAGGAACAGACCTCAGATAGGGACCTGCCGAAAATCAGACACAATGCAAATAAATGCAGGCCACTCGACAGCAGAAGGCTGTCAGGAAGCCAAACTGGAGAGAGCCTGGCCAAGCCGAAAATGGAATCCTCCGCATTCGCTAAAATAAATAAATAAACAATTAAAATCATGGATGGAAGTACAGAGCACAGAAGTCCTAGAAAGCTCAGGATGAAACTCTTCAAAAATTAGACCAAAATTCACAGCAGAGGCTAAAACTAAAAAAAAAAAAAAAACCCACCACAAAAGCGCAGCCCCACTTGCGATGACTGGGATGCAATCCTAACGCTTTGTGCCTTTTAAGATAGTCCTTACGTATTCATGTGCCAACAGCCCCCTCGCCCCCTCCCCTCAACAATTAAAAATCCGGGATACGGATTAAAGCGATAGCAGGTGGCAATCTAATTGCTATCAGTCTTACATCTGAACCTCTCATTTGTCATATAAGCTCAACAACAGCTGGCTCTCAACCCTGGTTATCCTCGCGGCTATTACGCCAGGTTCAAAGAAGGTGATGGACGTCGGGCTCCTCATCCGCACTCTTCACAGGAGTCGGTGTTGGTGGGATTTGGTGTCCATTATCTGGTACCAGCTTCACTCTTCACAGTGAATCACCCTGGGCTGAAGAACGTCCACCAGCCTGGTCTGCAGCTAGAAACCCGCAGCCCACTGAGGATAGGGTTGGCGGTGTGGCGGGCACGAAGGCCCCGAGCCCCCAGATGGGGGCTCGGGGCCTTCGTGCCCGCCACACCGCCAACATTTCCACCAAAATTCGCCAAAAAAACGCCAAAATTTCCACACACATCCCACCAGGGGCTGGGAGAGCAGCGGGAGCGCCATCACAGGGCCCTTCCCTGTCAGCGCCATTCCGCGCGGTGTCACAAGATGGCGGCAGAGCCCCGGGGCCGGGCCCGCACAGCTCCCCGTCGCCTGGCCGGTTTTTTTTCCCCGAATCGCCAAAAGTGGCAGGAGCTGGGGAGCTGGCCAGGAAAAGGGTGGGCTAAACCGTTGTGTTGTGAGTTTTGGGGGACGGGAGTGCGGTCAATTTTGGCAGGCAGGTTGGCTTCTGAACGGTTCACGCGTCGGCCCAGGAGCACAAATTTATTTGAGGTCTTGAGAGGTCTCTGTGGCATGGACCGCTGGAGTTGAAAGGTGGAAGGCCAACTGTGCTATCTGTGTATGCTCTGGTGGCATTTGGGTGGGAGACGGTGACATTTGGCTTGAAACACAGGGAGGGACAGCTTGGGTAGGGAGGGAGAAGAGGGAGCAAAAGGAGATGGCGGCACTGGGAGATGAGGTGTCAAGGGCAGAGGGGAGAGTAGGGCAGGGGAGGGAAGGAGGGAATGAGACACTCATTGAAGTGAGGCAGCATGGACGGGGGCTTCCGTGGGTAACTGGGAATAGTGAGGGAAGAGATTGGGTTCACATCGTCCGTGGGGATTCAGTAGAGTGTATAACCTGGGTGTCTTTGTGGCTTAAATTGTCGTTACTAACACAACACTTTGAAGCAATGGGGATATGTTCACCAATAAACTCAATTTTCATTTGATAACAGGAAAGAACTGGTGATGCTGTAGCCAGACGTACACCTTAAAACATATTATTGTCCCTCAACTGCTATTCCTAAACAATTGCAGAGCCCAAGATTCCAAAATCTAAGGAGGCAGCATCTCAGCCGTCTAAAGAAAGGACAATCCGGTGTGTGAAACACCAGACAGAAGCCCTGGGATTGCAGGAGCTGAGCCGTGAAGACCTGCGGAGGATTTGCAATGAATGTTGGCATGGCATAAAGAGGGCACTGAATTCACACACATTCCCCTAAGCCTTTGTGTGCCAGTGCACAGGGCCGGCTCTCGCTGCCCAGCCCCACGGCCGTAATTAAGGGATTCCCACTCGCCATGAACAGGTGCAGCCCCACCCAAACAACGAGGCTGCAGACAAAAGATTACAAATAAGAACTAAATCCCTCTACTGTACATTGCAGTGGTGAGCGGGGACAGGTGGCCTAGGGTAATTCCGGCTCAGTCCTCATGCCGGGGCGGGAAACTGCAGCAGCTCATTTGGTTCTGAACTATTATATGATAACTCCTTGCAGGCTCTGTTGATGGGGAGGCTGATGAAGGCATGGATTAAATCAAACAGCCTGTATGCTACTGGCAGTGGAATTATTCCTACAAATTTATGACAGCTTGCAAATAAGGCACAGACGAGGAAAATGCTGCTCTCTCCAGCTACCCTTTCCTCACCAGTACTATATGTCATTCATTCATTCATTCGACTATAACTGATCATAAAGATCTGGTACATCAGAAGAGCATGAGTGTATGCAAGCAGCTCAGCCTGTGGATTTGCAATGCTCGTGTACACGTACCTCTGGGACTCACCATGCCCAGAAGAGGTCTTGAGTGTTTCGGTAACAAAAAAGAAGCAATTGGCATTTGATGTGATCTTTGATGTTTTCTTAATTTACTGCATTTGTTGCTGTGTTAGCTGTGTCCTGCCATCAGTGTCCTGTCTGTAGATCTGGAGGAAGGTCTTAACACAGCTCAGGGCTGTGGGCAGCTCAGGTGAGCTTCCAGTATTGCAACCTGTACTACATTGTGCATCAAACAACTTCTGCCTTCAGTGCATGTGGCTCTGTTACCACAGATCAGAGTGCCCCACAAGATTTGTTGTGGTTATCCTCACAATGCCCTGAGAGTCAGTGAAAGGCAGTTTTCTGCACTTTAAATAGGTAGGGCTGAGTTATAAAACCCTGGATTCCTCTCAACCAACAAAACTACCCAAGCTAAGGTTTAATCAGTGTAGGTTCTCTTGGTAATTGTTAGAGAGCTATGAGCATGTAAAGAGGGCACTCCAGATTTTGGGAGGCTTTGGAGTAATTAGCTTCCTACATTGGGTATCTTTGGTAGTACTGAAAATCAGCCAGAATAAGCATGGGCTAGTCTGAGAGCGAGGCTTTTAGATACTTCAAAACGCTTGCTAGGCATTTGGCCATTTAAATGTCAGAATGCCTTGAAAAACATGTAGTCCTGTAACTTGAAGCTAAAATCTTTTATTTCCTTCCATTGCCAGGGAAATGGGAGTGGTGTCTCCAAAGGCCATCAGCCTCCATTGTAAGAAAGTTCCCTCCTGGAGGTGGTTTGTTACACCCATCTTTTCACCTTGAATATTAATGAACATCTTATACTTAGGGGTGCAGCAACTTTAACATAGATATAGATGTCCTACCCCGTTCTAGATAGTATCAGGTATACTGCATGGATAGCCTGTGTGGAAGCTCCAGCTGATCTTCCAGAAAGGTGCAGTTCTCCTGTGGGTCCTGTGTCTTATCTGCAAGCCCCAAGAAATGTCTTGGATACTATATATTGTATAAGTACTATATATATACTATATGCTACTATATGTAAGTACTTATACTTTGTATATTATATATACTTATACTATGTATTATACAATATTATATATTGTATAAGTACTATATATATGGTATACTTAACATGATACTAGACTATGCCTGTCATATTCCTGTGTGTAAGGAACTGAATTCCTCTCCTAATTAGTGTCCAGCTTTTGACTGGCTGAAGTCAGAGGCAATGATGACTCACACCCTAAGTGACTTGCTTGAGGACATTGATGCCAGAGGCATGTGTTTACAAGCCCAAAAAAGAGCAAAGAAGAGGATCTTGGGAAGTATTAATCCATCAGCGTAACCATGATAATGAGAGTCAATTATTAATCAATTTGTAAGCACAGAAGTGATAAGAAGGCAGTAGAACATATCAATATGGATTAATCAAGAACATATCACTTCAAATTAATTCAGTGTCCTTATTTGAAGGACTAACTAGCCAAGTGTATAAAGGGATAGATGTGATATATGTCGACTTTGTTAGTGTCAAAAGCCTTATTTGTTAGTGTCAAAAGCCTTACTATTCTTACAAACAAAGCTGTGTAATGAGATCTAAATTAAATCCAGATTAGAATGAGCACATGATGTTTGATTCATACCAAAGCACTCATCCGCGGTTCACTCTCAGAGCTGGACATGCCAAGTGGGGTCCTGCAGGTGTCTGTTGTGGCCCCAATGTTTTCAACAATAAATTGGCTGCTGGAAAAGCGAGTAGTTGATTCTACTCCTGAGAGCACTGACTGGGAGAGGCTGGGAGAGTTTGATTTGGAGAACAGGATCAGGACTCACATTGATCTTCACAGATTGGAGAGCTTGCCTGAAATCAATAAGTTGCACTGTAATGAAGACAAGTACAAAATGCAGCCTTGGGACAAAAGGCAGCATCAAACGCGTGGTCTGTGAAATGAGGAATAACTGATAAGGCAGCAATAGTGCAGGAAGGGATCGACTGGCTGTTGTGAACCATGCACTACGTGAAGCGGTATAAAACCCATGCAGAAAAACAAATGTCATTTGGGGATATATTAGCAGCGGTGTTTTGGGTAAAACACTGAGGTAATTATTCTGCTCTACTTGGCACTGGTGAGGCTTAGCCTAAGTATAGTGTCCAGTTTTGGGCAATACACTTGAAGAAAAGCTACAGGGAAATTAGCAGAGAACAGCAAAAAATGTTAAGATGTTTAAAAGCACACGCTGAAGGGAAATGGATTTGCTTAGTCTCAGGAAGAGATCATTGAGAGGAGACATAAAAACAATCCTCATTATAAGAAAGGTTCTCATGGAGTGGAATGAAGAGTGTTCTGCCATGCCTGCTGGAAGGTGACCATAGGAGAAGGGGTACCAGGCTGGGTCAGACAGTACTATTCCTGTGTGGACAGCTTCCAAAGAAAATGCAGCATCTCCTTGTGTAGATGTTTTTCATGTCCCTGACTTGGTTAATAATTCACCACAAAGATAAAAGCCTCAGGGCTAAATGGATGCAGAGATGTGGTTTTGCAATGCCTAAATTGTAGGTGCTGGGCACCCAGCCCCAAGGCTCCTGGTATGATGAGAGGCGGGTGATCAACAAAGAATGCAAGAGTGAGCCAGCGGGCTCAGCAAGGAGCCAGCAAATGTAAGATGTCTAACTCTGGGCTGGAGAGAAACCTAACTGCGCTTAGAAGTGAGGGTTGAGGGATCTCCACTGGATCCTCTCCTGGAATCGAACAACCAGGGCAGGTCAGCTCTTCCTAGCTAAAAATCATCAGGATAGTTTTCACATCATTTTACAGCCAAGACTATTAAACAAAACACCAACTGCATTGGTTGTCTCCTCAGGAGAGAAACTTGTAGGGTTAGACAGTGGCTGAGGAGAGATCGTTGAAGAACGTGGACCCTTAAGATGCTTTTAGGCCTCTGGTTTTACCTGCATCTCTAAATCTTGCATCCGTTTCCAAGACAGGAATCATTCATTTAAAAGTCAGCTCTACTAAATAGTATCTCATAATTTTAATAAAGCAACTTGCTGCTTGAGTTCTAAAAGCCATTACACAAATTCACAGAAGAGAGAGAAATGTATCAAGAGCACTTAGACCCACAGAAGCAATCTCTGGCAAAAGAAGTCCCTGAGCTCTTACCACTGTCACAGGCGGGTGAGGGAACTAGATAGACCTATGCCATGGCCCAGGATAGTCATCTCTTTGCTCTTACCGACTCAATGGAAAATTTCCATGAACAGTTTTAGATCAAAAGAAGGACTCTGCCAACAACATCTGATGAAGCTGCAGAGCAGGAAGGGCATCCCACCACAGAGGAGGCTTGAAAAGTCATCAGGAGGAAGCCTAGGACTGGGAGTACCAGAGTGGCAAAGAAGGAATGAAGTCCAGTAATAAGAGGTTGGGTATTTGGGATGTATGGTAAGAACATGTGCCACGGCTGTGGTCTCGGGAGTCCTTGCCAGATAGAGAAGAAAAAAGACCTTGGGGCACTAGTTAATGACAAAGCAGTTATGAGCCGCTGAAGGAACATGGCCATGAAAAGGGTAA